TGAACCTTCAACAGACGAGTAATTATTAGGACAGCAGCGGCTAAATTCCATCAAGTGACCACATATCTACCAGGAAGGTAGATTGTGATAGCCAGGAACATTATAAGCATAGGAAAATTTGAGTTAATTTCTAGAGATAAAAGAAAAAGAAGAGAGAAAAAAAAACTATATAAAGAAGCAGAGGCAAGGAGAGGGAGCCAGATGAGGTAACTCAACTCCCTATTCCTTCTTCGTAATCTCTCTCTTTCCTCTCTTTTAGTTTTACTGGAATATTTTCAAATTTTAATTTCTCTATTATTATTTTTGGTGCTGGGCCTCAAATCAGCTATTTAAGGAGTCTTCTGCTGAGATAACATTACCCCTAGTCTTCAATTAATAGTTTAAAGGTATTTGTTCTTATTTTATGAGTATGAGTGTTTTGTTTGCATGTATGAAGTTGTGCCGTGCGTGTGTCAGGTGCCCATGGAGGCCAGAAGAGGGCATCAGACCTCCTGGGACTGGAGTTACAGTTGGAAGGTACCATGCGGGTGCTGGGAACTAAACCTGGGTTCTCTGCAAGCACTGCCAGTGCCCTTAACCTCTGAGCCATCTCTCCAGCCCCCTTAATCGATATTTTAAAAGGGCTAATTATGACTACATGTATTTATGAGGCATATACATATATACAGACATACATACATATAAAACATGGAGTGAGAAAAATCAAACTAATTAACATATTCAGCACCTCATCCATTATTTTTTTTGGGATGACACTTTGATATTTTCTTCTCTGAAATATAAAGTTATTTGTTACTTTGGTGACATAAATGTGCGCTATGTTGCTATGTTGGGTAGCAACGTATCTCACATTACTTTTGCCATCCATCTGAAGTGCTGTCCTCTTTATTACAAACTACATTCATTGTGTGTGTGTGTGTGTGTGTGTGTGTGTGTGTGTACCACATACATGTGTGAAGGTCACAGGACAACTTCTGGGAGTCAGTCATGTCTTTCTACTGTGTGGGACCCAAGGATCAAACTCAGGTCGTCAGCTGCCCTTATGCTTTACCTTGTCAGCCCTGAAACTCTGTGGTCTGACCACTCCCCATTCCTTCCCACTCCATTCTCTGGCTAACTATCATTCTACTTCTGTGACGTCATGCGGTATTTGTCGTTCTTAGCTTGGCTTATTTCACTAAGCGTAATGTCTTCTTCGTTTATTCACATGTTTATTGAAATCACATGAGTTTCTTCCCCTTTGAAGCCAAACAGCATCACCATGCCATGTTTTCTGTTGTGCATGTGGACTACATTTTCTTTACCCCTTCATTCATTAATGGGTAAAGGCTAATTCTCCAGCTTCACTGCTGGGAATGGTTTTGAGACGAACATGGGGAGTGCTGCGTGTTAGCCCTTTAGTGCAGGGCTGTTAGTATGACCAGCTCACAGTTGGTTTTACTTCTGGTGACTAAGAGTAGGAAAGGAGGTTGAGATGGTCGATCAGTGTCCAGAAGTAGAAGGACCTTAGAACACCAGTAAGAAGGTCTGTGTTTTAGAGTAGGTCACGGAGAGCCACTCTGGTGTATAACTTCTGGAGGACCAGGAATAAATTACCACCCAGAGTTTACATCCAGAGAGAGAGGAGAGAGGCTTAACTCTGAGCTTCTGTTGTATCAGTGCTGTCTAGCTTCTCAGAGCAACAATGCTCTTATTTGTAAAATGCAGATACAACGATGCAGAACTCATTCTATGTTCGAGTGAAGGTGAAGTATTGAGCATCTCCCCTTTTACATAGAGGGCGTACTTAGCAACACCAAGTATTGCCTAGGAGGCTAGGTGCCCGGCCACAAGGTGGCTGTGGTTATAGTGCATTCTAATGCTTTTCTGTAAATGTTTACCTAGATACCTGGAAGGCCGCAGAAGTAAAGCATAAACAGATGGCAAGCTAACATGATTCCATGTGATATTATCACACTACCACCACCCAACAATGTCATTCCCTCTTTAAGTAACTCTTATCTTGATGCCAGAGCAAGAGCTGAAGAGCTCCAGAAAAGCTCAGAAATCTAGATGGAAGCAAAAGTGACTTTGGCAGCCTTAGGAAACGCTACCTTGTAGAATCAAATAAGTTAGCAAATTTTGCAACAGTTTACCGAAGACAGCAATAGGCAAACATGTTAACCACAGGGAAGATTGAGTTGACGATCAAACTTTTTATGGCACCTTGTCATAAAATGTAGCCATGGCCACATTCATGCCTTGCCCATCCCACAGGCTCTTTCGAGTTCCAGAATGACACAAGCAAACCACATTTGTCCTCCAACTAACCACCGTGATTGTACAGCAGGTAATGCAGTATTTGTTGAACTGAAACAAATTTGTGAAATGGATCATCCCAAATGAAAGGGTGTATCTGAGCTATGAGCTTTCGGTGTGGTCAGGCTTATTATTTTCTATGAAAACATTTCCCTAATATCTAAGCTTTGATGACCAAAACTCGTATCTGTGCCATGATAGAGTTTTCAATCAATCCAAAGGTATCTGAGGACCTAGACACCTGGGACACAAAGATTTCAAAGCTTGGCAGACTTGAGTCATACTTCTCTGTATGTGTAACTGTAGATTTCCTTGGGCGAGTCTTGGAGTAGGGGTTTCAAGAGCCAGGCTCTCTAGTCCTGCTTCTGACCCTCAGTGCTCTAGTCACAGACAATGTATGGTAAAAGGACTATCCATACTGAGTTTTCTTCATATATATATATGACAAAGAGCAAAGGAAATGGGTGCTTAATAGTTCATCTTTTTCTTAGAGCTAAGTTATTTGTTTGGTCACTTGGTTAGTTTTTGTTTTCTTGAGTCAGGGTCTTTCTGTGTAGCCCTGGCTGTCCTGGAACTCATGGAGAGCCTCCTGTCTCTTCCTCTCAAGTGCTAGGAGTAAAGGCATGTACCATGCCTAGTCATAGAGCTAAATTCTTATTGTAGAGTTAGGATTTTATTTGGGAGTAAGGAAAAAAAAACATTGTATGAGAGTTTTTCTTCTGGTAACCTTTCCCCTTTAGCATAATAAATACTGCTTTTTAACCAAGTGAAGGATGAGGAACATTAGCTTAAGATACTGGACACTGGATGACAAAGAGCTGTCAGAAGGGTAGAGACCCAGGAGACGGTATGGCCACAGCCTTGAAACCACCGAACAAAGCGACTAACAAATGTTCTTCCCAAATTTCCACGTAAACACAATTGATAGAGCAATGGTTCTTGACCTTCCCAAGGCTGCAATTCTCTAATACAGTTCCTCATGTTGTGGTGACCCCATCCATAAAATTATTTTCATTGCTACTTCACAACTGTAATTTTGCTACTGTTATAAATCATAAGTAAGTATCTGTGTTTTCTAATGGTTTTAGGTAACCTCTGGGAAAGGGTCATTTGACCTCTGAAGGAGTCATGACCCACAGGTTGAGAAATGATGATCTGGAGTCTGCAGTCATGTATGAAACTCCTCATGTGGAGCAGAGATTCACAAACAAAACAACAAAATGCTTGACTGATGAAATGATGGTAATGGAGACTGAGTCTTCACTATTAGAAATCATCACTGACAGTAGTATCAATAAAACATTTTAGGCTGCCCAACAACTTAATACCTTGAAATAAAATTGGGCTTATTTAGATATTGATTGTGTCATTAGTTAATGTTTCAGTGGTACGGTGATGAACAAATCAGTAAATAGTGAAAGGTTTTTTTCTTTTAAAAAGAGGAACAAAAATAACAATTGTTCAAAAACCACACTTCTGGGTTATTAAAAGGGCCTTCAAGAAAGGGAAGAAAGTTTCCTTATGGGTGTAAATCCTTGTGATGGAATATTTGACTTTACAGTTTGATGACTTTAAAGTTTGATGACTTTATAGGTAAGATAATGTGCAAATCCAATATTCATGTAAATGCTTTAAGAGAACAGGCACAGCAATATTTGAAATGTTTTGTCTTCATACATATTTCCATGTTCCTTGACCTTCCACAACACTGTAAATGGTGGTTGTGAGGTGTGTGTGTTGGTGTGTGTGCAGACTTTGAGGGAAAGATCAAGCATGCTTGTTTCCAGCTACTTTTCTCTTAGGTGGAAACAGTGAGTAGGAACATAGAGAGCCAAGCCACAAGCTCTGAATCAAATAAAAGACATGTTATCGTAAAGCAACCAACAGATTACATCCAAAAACCAAAGACGCCTGGCTCTCCCCGGAGGTCATTCAGAAACAGAAGGACTGAAGCAAATTCTAGCATGGTTTCTTGGCTTGGCTCCAAGATCTGAGGAGTTTCCCAAAATCTCTTTTGGGAATTAGAAAGCATCAACTATAATTTCGGATCCAATAATTTTCATCACCACTGGATTGCCGGGCAGACAATGCATTCTTCAATGAGGGAAGGAAAGGAAGAGACAGGAAGGGAGAGCGGGAAAGAAAGAGCTGGAGATGGATGGAGACAGGCAGACAGACACAGAGAGAGAAGGAAAGAGGAAAGAGAGAGAGATACAGAGAGACAAAAAGAGCGAGAGACAGAATGATGGAGGGATATATGATATATATATATATAATATGATATATATATATATATTTATGGGCTGTCTCTACAGAAGTTCAGAAAGCCTTTCCCATCAGAACGCAGGCTAACAATTCTGTCTGGGCGCGTCCAGCAGAGGTCACTTACTGGGCCTGGCCAACTTTGCCTTCTCTCTTGACGAGCACTTTGGCGGGCTTGGCGTCCTCCACCTCTTGCTGGAGCTCAGTCATCAGGTCTGCTTCCCGGGCGCACCCCAGGACTCGGCTTCTCACTCGGGGCTCCCCGCTCCCGGCCCTCCCGCGCCCTAATTCTGCGCATCCAGGCGGCCGATCTCCGGGGCCTCCAACCTGGACACGTTGGAGCCGGCGCGATTGGTCCGAGCCAGGCTGGAAGAGTCCAGAGGGAGGGAAGGGGAGGGTCGAAGCAAAGTGACAGCCCTTTTCCCCAACCCAGGAGGCAGAGACAGAGCAAATGGAAACCTGTTGAACTTGTCTTTCTGGGAGAGGACTCTAATTGGCCAAGCAGGTGAAACATTTGCCTAACAAGACACAGCGCAGTAGCCGCCTGTTGCTCTGGGTCGTATCTCTCTCTCCTGCCCAGCGGGTGAACAGGGGAGGGAGGGGGCTAAGCGAGGGTGGCAGTCTGGGCAGCAAGCCTGTGCAGGAAGTGGACCGCACTGGGTGGGTGCTGGCTCACAACAGTGCCCTGCGGGCGGGTCCACTTCCCCGCCCAAATTATCCACACAGAGTATTGCCTCTCTGTGCTAACAATACAGCCCCTCGGTTTGTCAGGTAGGGGGACAAAGGGAGTAAGTATTCACCTCTTAAACCCTGTCCAGTTCTTCGGTGGATAAGAGATGGGAGAGGCAGGGCAACAAGCATCGAAACTTCCTCAGCAGTCTTGGCTGGGTGTGGGTTGGCTGAATAATACTTCATTACCATGTATCCATCTTCCACGGCAGATGTTGTGTTTTTATTTCTCCACGGTTGGTCATTTGGGGGCGCCCGCCTTCCGTCGTTCTCAAGGATGCTGCTAGGATCTGGTGTCCAAGTGTCTGTTTAAGTCCCTGCTTCCATGCCTTTGCTGGGTCACGTGGTTCTCGGTGTTTAACCTTCTGCAAAGCCTTTGTCAGGGCTGTTTTGACACAAGAATAGGGTGAGTATGCAAGGTAATCCTTACAGCTGAGTTAAAGAGCGCTGAAATCCTCCTTCAGCATCTCTGATTAGGACTTCGGTAAGTGAGGCAGAGCGAGGGGAGGCCAGAGAGGTGGATTGTAGGTAAAGTACCAGAAGGAGTAAGAAACTTACATTATTTTACTTGCTAAGTTTTTGTTCGTTTCTTTGGTTGATTGGTTCTTCGAGACAGGCTTTCTCTGTGTAACAAGCTTGTGTAACTATCCTGGACATCCTTTGTAGACCAGGCTGGCCTTGAACTCATAGAGATCCGAATGCCTCTGCCTCCTGAGTGCTAGGATTAAAAGTGTGCACCACCACACTCGGCCTGCTTGCTAAGTTTTTAATTACATCCCCAAACAACTAATTTGTTTATTCTTCCAGTTTTTTTTTAATTTTTATAAACTGTATTATAAAATTGCAAATAAATAGCGTCACACAGAAAAGTTAACCAAACTCTGTACAACTCAGCGAACTTCTCCACAGTTAGAATTGGCATCTGGCTGGGTGCTGGTGGCACATGCCTGGGAGGCAAAGGCAGGCCGATCTCTGTAAGTTCGAGGTCAGCCTGGTCTACAGAGATAGTTCCAGGACAGCCAGGGCTACACAGAGAAACTCCAATATATTATGTCTTCCTTAGAACTCATGTGCACTACCCGTGTTGGTCTCTCCTTATCTCTTAATATTTAGACTTCCTCGTTCCCTTTTCATGTCGTACTGTATCCACATGCACATTTGTTTACGTATTCCCATGTATTATTGACTTAATTCGACATATGAGAAAGAACATGTGGTTTCTTTTTTTTTTTCTGAGATTGTATAATTTTGCGTAATATTATATGTTCTAAATCTATTTTTCTACAAATTTTATAGCTTCCTTTTCCTTTAGGACTGAGTAGTACTTCTTTACATATTATAGATATGTGCTATATTTTATGATCCACTCATTCATTTATGAACAAGGAGGTTGATTCCAATTCTTTGCTACAGCAAATAATGCAGCAATAAACATGGGGGTGTAAACGTCTCTGTGATAGGATATGGAGTTATCTGGACATATACCCAGGAATTAAATAGCTGGATCATATGGTAATTCTATTTCTTTCTTTTTTTTTTTTTTTTGAGAAATCTCCAAACTGATTTTCACAATGGCTGTATTAATTTGAACTTCCACCAAAAGTGAATAAGGGTTCTCTTTGAATTATTGTGCAATAAAATCAAGCACGGTATATAAAATGTAGCCTCAGGGGCTGGAGAGATGGCTCAGTGGTCAAGAGCACTGGATGTTCTTCCAGAGGTCCCAAGTTGAGTTCAACTCCCAGCATTCACATGGCAGCTCACAACTGTCTGTAACTTCAGTTCCAGAGGATCTGGCACTCCTGCAGACACGCATGCAGAACACCAGTGCACATAAAAAAAAAATCTTAAAAACAAATGTGGCATCAGCCAAACAATAGCGAAGTCTCACGTGGCAGCACAGAGGCAGAAGATATTGCTGAAATGTGTTTTTGGAGGCTCTTTGACTTTGTGCTGGTATGAAGCTCATTGCTTTTCTTCCTTCAGGCCTCTGGAAATCTAACTTTTTTTTTTTTTTTTGTAATATCAAAGAAGAATTCCAACACAGTTCTTCCAGTTATTGAAATAACTGTTAGAAAATCTGAAGTCCTCATCTTTTTGGAGGTAGAAACTTTAAGTGGTTTAGAATACTGGTCCAGTGTTGACCTTTATTTAGCATTGGTCAGATGCACTGCACATCCGTCACGAGCTGAAGGGCAGAGGTCAAAGCATGAGTTTGGAAATCTGAGTGGAGAAGTGACTGTGGTGTGCGATCAAGTGGTTACCTAATTCACAGTGTGTGGCAGGTGTATAGCTATTAGTCAATATGACATTCATTAACTGACTTCTCAGGCCAGTAAGGTCACTCACAGCCTGATGATACATTTTGGAAGATGCCTATGATTTTTCAAGAGGAAAACTGGAGGCTCTGGAATAATTTACCCGTGCCCAGTATTCAGGATCAAAGCATCCCAGAAACACTTCGCGGCCCATTCCTGTTTTCAATTACAGTCCGTTATCTGAGGAGAGAATGGGAAGATGTTCAGTTAAGAAGAAAGCTGTTAAGAAGAAGAAAACAGTGAAGAGCTTAATTCTCAGATCAGACTAAAAAAAAAAGTTGTAAGAATTGAACTTGAGAAATATTACTGGGGGCTAATCACTTTTGAATGCGTTGTATTAAATAGGGAAGTCTGGTGAACACATCCTTTACAGTAGAAGAGTATGTCGTGGGCCGTGGAAGCACCTGCTGTGGAGCCTTTAAAATAACAAGGCGTTGGGTGGGGCCACCCCTGGACTGGTGGTCCTGGATTCTAAAAGAAAGTAGGCGGGGCAATCCACTGGGAACAAGCCAGTAGGCGGCACCCCTCAGTGACCTCTGCATCAGCTCCTGACTCCAGGTTTCTGTCGTTGGAGCTCCTGTCTTGATTTCCCTCAGTGGTCAACAGTGATGTGGAGGTATAAGCCAAATAAACCCTTTCTACCCCCACACCCTCCAAAAAACAGTATTTCCCAACTGGGGTAATAGTGTATACGGGGACATTTAACCACATTTACTACACAGGATGAGAAGAAAGGGCAGAGAGTGGTACAAGTCCCAGTTCAAGACTACTAGCGTATATCTGGCGCCACAAGAACAGAGCAATGCAAAAGCTCCCTCCTTTCAGTGCTCTTTTAACTTTTTTTTTTTTTTAAGGCAAGGTCTAGAGTCCAACTAGCCTTGAACTCTCACCACATCTGGCTTGGATGTGGCGTTAAGTGTTGAACTCCAGAGCCTTGTGCGTGCCAGCCGGGCACTGTACCAACTGAAGTACATCTCAGCCCGTTGTTTCAGGACTCCTCAGAAAGAAAACAAATGGTGCCACATACTGTGGTTTAGATGAGTGTTCCCTCAAGGCCCACATGTTAAAAAGCACAATGCCCAACTCATGGCAGGATGAGAGAGGTGGTAAATCCTTAGCCATGAGACCTAATGGGATGAAATTAGGCCACAGGGGGCCTAGTCTCAAGATTACCGTGAGCTGGCTCTTCCTACTGTCTCTCTTTTGCTTTTCCAGCTCCCAGAGGTAAGCAGTTTCCTCCGGCAGACTCTCTCACCGTTCTCCACGTCCCCTTAGCAGCTTCCAAAATAACGATACAACTGATCGTGAACTGAAATCTTCAGTACTGTGAAACCAAGATTAACCTGTCTCTTTTCTGTGAGCTGATTATCTCAGTTATTTTGCTATATTAATGAGAAGCTAGCGGACCCCGTAAACGATAAATTAAATAAATTTAGAATAAATTTTAAAATGCATGTCTGTTTTCTAAATAGTAAATGTTATTGACCACTGCTTCCAGGTGCCCACTACTCCCGGCTCTTACAATCTTTCTGTCACCTCTTCCGCTGTGCTCCCTGAGCCCTGGGGGAAGGGGATGTGATATAGATGTCCTGTTCAGAACTGAGTACCCCCTAGTCTCTTATTCTCTGTGTGTTGGCCAGCTTTGGGCCTCTGTAGTAGTTGTCATGTTTGGCAAAAAGAAGCTCCTCTCGTGAGGACTGAGAAGGGCACTTACCTATGGGTATAAAGGCAAGCATTTAGGGGGAAGTTTACTACTGTGTCCATCTGGAAGAGTCGTAGTATTAGATTTTCCCCAAGAGCCTATGACCTAGATAGTCAGGTTTTTGACCTAGTTAACAGTACCAGGCAACAGTGCCAACTTCTTAACACTACGTCAGTGTAGCCGTTTCTGCTTCGGTTAGATCCTTTTCTTGGATCTGTTTCACATATTTGTGCTTTGTCTTCACTTTTACTGGGGAAAATGGGAAACCGTTGCCCACCGCACACTAAACACAATTTAACGGTCAAGCCTCCATCACTTTTAAAAGACGAGTCTGATCTTCAGGGAGTTTAGTCGCTCAACAATAATGACAAAAACTAAACAAAACAAGAATGAACCAGTGCTCCTTAGAAGATGAAGACTCAGTTCTCTTGCCCACCGGGGGAGTTCTTGTAGGACTATGAAAGCTGGAATAATGCAAAAACACATTTTGTTGATGTTGAAGAACACATGCTATGTTGGAGTGTGTTGGAAAAAAGTCCCAGTAGGGGCTAACAGGGGTGGAAACGGTATTTGTGGAGAAACAACTTGTAAAAATGCAGAGAACAATGGACCACGGGGTGCCCAACCCCAATTTGTATACCTATAGTGCAACCCCTATATCCACGACTCAGGGAATGCTATGGAAGAGACTGACTGTAGGTATCAGAGGATCAGGATGTCTTCTGTATGACTGTGTCTTCTATGCATGGCAGGAGAGCTGCACCTATGTAATCTCAACAATATAATTACCCAAACAAGACTCGTGTGAAAATTCTAATTGATATGTGTCTTAGTCAGTGTTTCTATTGCTGTGAAGAGACACCATGACCGTAGCAACTCTTATGAAGGACAGCATTTAATTGGATCTGGCTTATAGTTTCAGAGGTTTAGTCCATTACTGTCCTGGCAGGAAGCATGGTGGCGTGTAGGCAGCCATGGTGCTGGAGATGGAGCTTAGAGTTTTACATCTGGATTGGCAGGCAGCAGGAGAAGAGAGACATTGGGGCTGGCCTGAGCATCTGAAACTTCAAAGCCCACCCTCAGCCTTCCAACAAAGCCATGCCTACTCCAACAAGGCCACACTTCCTAATAGTGTCCCTCCCTGGTGACCAAGCATTCAAATCTATTAACGTATGGGACCATACCTACTCAAACCACCCCAACATGTCACTATGAGTGGAAGAAATTTTCCATGCCTAGATGAAGTGCTGCAGACAATCAATGGCTGCTGGGAAAGGGAGAATCAGTTCTCTCCAGGGACGGTTGCCTTGTAGGTTATCTAATTCCGAGTGATTGGCCCTAAACACATGTGTAGATGAGCAACATGAAATGACCTCAGGAACTTGTGTGTGCATGCATGTATTTGTAATTGTACACATATTATGTGTGTATTCATATACACATGGATTACGTATGTTTGCATGTGTGTAACAATAAAGGTGTAAGAAGAGGTTATGGACTTGAGAGAGAGTGGGTGGATACAGGAGGAACTGGAGGGACAGACGGAAGAGTGGGAGTGACGTATGTATAATTCTCACTTATGAAATTCTCAAGAACATAGAAACTTAAATTAAAAATAGCTGTATTCATAGAGAAGGAGATGTTTGAACTTAGAGTTATTTTTGGTGGCTGTATTTTGAGGTTTCCAGTTGTTTTATAACCAACCGTTTGAAACTGTAGGGGTTTCAACAATAATTTATTATTATCTCTCATAGTTTTATAAGTTTGATTATGCTCAGCTAGATGCTTGGGTACAATAACAGGAGCCCAGAGACGGATCATTCAAAGACTCAACTGAACAGGATATGCTAGTGTCGGGAGCCGCTCCCGCCATTACAAGATGGCGCCGGCTTCCTGCT